GATGTCTCTACTACCTTTCGCACGAATTCATCTCTGCCATCCTGACAGTCTAGCTCAGGCGAAAGTGAGGAACGCTCCGGATGAAATTTGCATGGCTAAAAATGCTCTGGAGATGAAATTCCCCGAGGTCTTGTTCGTCATGGCCAGTAAGTTCAATCAGGCCAACCTCAACATGGTGCTACCAAAATATCACCATCACATCAGCTGCCCCATCAGAGGACCAAACATCTTGGACCACTGCTACACAACCATCAAAGATGCCTACTGCTTCATACTCCATCTACACTTTGGAAAATCCGATCGCAATGCTGTGTTCCTCCTCCTATCTTACAAGAAGTTGAAACGAGAGGATCCATCACAGAAAGTAGTACAGTGGAAGAGCTTCTCCGGGACTGCTTGGAATCAGTGGACTGGAACATATATGCAAGAATTCAACGGACAACTCAGACAAGTACATCACCACCATCGTGGACTTCACTAGCAAGTGCATAGAAGACTGCATGCCAAAGAAGTCAATCCGGGTGTTCCCCAGTTGGAAACTTTTGATGAACTGGGAAATCCACTGCTTACTAAAGATCAGGTGTGCGGCATTCAAGTCAGATGACTCAGACCTATACAGGAAATCCAGATATGACCTCTGCAAAGCCATTAAAGGTGCCCAGAGGCTGCACCAGACCACATTAGAGGCCCAAACTAACCACATGGACACCTACTGCCTGTGGCAAGGCCTACATGACATAACAGGAGACCCAATGAAGCAGAACAAAATAGTGGACAAAAACACATCCCTCCCTGATATGCTCAATGCTCTTTATGCTTGGTTTGAGCAGAATGCCAGTGTGCGCTATCACCCACCCAGACAGCCCTGGATGCACCATTCCCTTTGTTACTGGTGCAGATGTCAGATCGGCCTTCTAGAGAGTAAACCCGAGGAAAGCGATTGGGCCAGACGGAGTCCCCGGCTGTGCGCTCAGATCCTGTGAGGGGCAGCTGGCGGAAATATTCGCTGACATCTTTAACCTCTCCCTGCAACAATCTGAAATCCCCACCTGCTTCAAGAAGACCACCATCATCTCAGTACCAAGGAGAAAACATGCAATGTGCCTCAACAACTACCGCTTGGTGACTCTGACCTCCAAAATTTATTAAGTGCCGCAAAACATTAGTCATAGCCCACATAAACTCTAGCCTCCCATCCTGCCTCAATCCTCTGCAATTTGCCTATTGGCAAAACAGGTCCACAGCGGACACCATTTCACTAACCTTACATCTGGACAAGAAAGGACACCCATGTCAGGCTCTTAATCATCAACCACAGTTTCGCCCTCAACACCATAATCCTTTCTAGACTAATCTCAAAACTCCGAGACACCGGTCTCTGCTCCACCAGATCTCTCCTGACCCACAGACTGCAATCAGTGAAGATAGACAATAGCACCTCCTCCACAATACACTAGTGCCCCACAAGGATGCATACTCAGCCCATCACTGTACCTCCCTGTACACTCTCGACTGAATATCCAAATTTCATATGAACGCCATCAACAAGTTTGCTAATGATACCACTATTGTAGGCTGGATATCAAACAACGATGAGTCAGAATACAGGGAAGATTGCTTGATATCGTGGTGTAATGATAAAAATCTCTTTTATATCTCAACCAAACAAAAGAACTGATCATTGACTTCAGAAGGAAAAGACGAGGACACGCCTGTGTCTACATCAATGGAGCTGAGGCGGAGAGGGTCGACAGCGTCAAGTTCCAAGGAGTGAGAATAACCAATAATCTGTCCTGGATCTCCCATGAAGATGTGATGGTCAAGAAGGCACAACAACATCCTTTCTCCCATGGGACGGTTAGGAAATTTGGCATTTTCACAATGACTGTCAGGGCAGTCCATGTTTGAAAGACAAAATGGCTGACAAGAGAAAAACAGAATAAAACAGCTTGCTCTAGCATTCAAGTGAAACACAAGGGTACCTTTTTGAACAGGGTTATACCAAGGTGAATGGGAGGCTGTGCAAGCAACCATCCGAGACAGGCATCCTCTTATCAAACTAAAGGATTGACAAGTGATTGATTCCAGTCTCATTTAATGAAAGGTTTCTGTCTCATGAAGTGAAAAGCACCAGTTAGAACAAGGGCTGTAAATCTCAGCCCATGAACCAGCCAACTTAACTCTTAAAGTAGTTATGAAAATAACTGCAAGTTATTTTGTAGTATTTAGTTGTTTCTTTTGAGGTTATTCACAATATTAAGAAATAGGTTCTCGTTAAAGATTCTTCAGATAATCACAGGGATCGATTTCAACACATATTGATACATGTATAACCAAAGTATAATAGAAGCATTAGGGGAAAAACATTTAAATCTAGATGTGAAAGTTAATTAGTCTTGGGAAACGCTTTACTCATCTTTACTCCGTGAAAAAAATAGATGGTTCACAACTTACTAATCACAAAGTGTTAACAGTATACGTGGCCGTATAACTTTACAATTTATAACAGAAATTAATGTTACAAATTTTATAGAGGTTAGTTAAAACCAACTATCTTTTGTATTTTAATACATATATTTTCCACTGTCCCAATACTAAGAGAAATAACTGAATTTGATAGAGATACCACATAGAATACAATACATGGGACAGACCAAAGGCATATAACCAGTAGCTTTGGAATACTAATTAATAAGATGCATAGAAAGATCTCAAGTTCTGGAGATAATAACGTCTTTTAATCACTATGAGATCATGGGAACCTGGGACTGTCTCAATGAATACCCATTATTGATTGGGTGTACTGAATAAGGGGGAAGGACAGTGACCACGCTGTGGGTGGTTACTGTAACACAAATGTTTAAAAATGCTGTACTTCACTGTAAAAATCAGAATGTGTCATTGATTTCTCTTCTGAGCTAAAGTTTAAGAGAACAACTGGGTTCTCACTCCGAGGCCAGATTCGGGGAAGGTGTTTGGCCCTCTCCCTGCATTAACCGGTTGTTGTTTGAATAAAAGTCTGCCACTTGCCTGAATCCCGCCTGCCTCCTGAGGCTTTGTCCCCAGATTGACTGGCGATGGGGTGGGGTCAGTGTTACGCTCCTCCAAGGGATCTCACCAAATTTTACAGATGCATCACAGAAAGCATTCTATCTGGGTACATGGTACAGGGCTGGATGAGCACAGCAGGCCAAGCAGCATCATAGGAGCAGAGAGGCTGACGTTTCGGGCCTAGACCCTTCATCAGAAAAGGGGGAGGGGAAGGGGGTTTTGAAATAAATAGGGAGAGAGTGGGAGGCGGATAGAAGAGGGATAGAGGAGAGGATAGGTGGAGAGGAAACAAACAGGTCGAAGAGGCGGGGATGGAGCCAGTAAAGGTGAGTGTAGGTAGGGAGTTAGGAAGGGGATAGGTCAGTCCAGGGAGGACGGACAGGTCAAGGGGGCGGGATGAGGTTGGTCGGTAGGAGATGGAGGTGCGGCTTGAGGTGGGAGGAGGGGATAGGTGGGAGGAAGAACAGGTTAGGGAGGCAGGGACGAG